CATGTGATTCAACATGTGACAGTACATCTTAGGCAATTGCACTTGCATGCTCAACATGCATGATATTATATTAACTGCAGCCGTTCAGTATGTTTGRCTTTAAAATGATGGAAGCGGTGCCAGACTACACCTTAGAAATGAGACGAGAACTGTCTTTTAAAATATTTGACATAAATTGATAAGAATTCAAAACTTAATCCTATATATATACACGCTAAAAATCTCCCACTGTTGACCTTAAGATAACACCTAAGGATCGAGATAAATACAATGCTTCTTCGAACACACTATCTGTAAGATCTTGATATTATTTTTGTATATTCGATATTAAAGTTGATCATCTTTCAAAACATTTTGTTTCATTAAAAGATATAAAAAGAAATCCTACACAATCTTGTTTTCAAAGCCTCACCCAGGTATAACATCTTCGGAATTTTTCGACCTAGTTTTTTTAGTTTCTTGAAATCATTTGAAAATATTTGGGGAAATAAAGACTTTTAAGTATTAAAAAGATAACTGAAGTAGAGATTTTGAAGTATTTAGGACTGAAAGTTTTGAATTTCGTCTACTTTGGTCCGTTATCCATCATTACTGTGAACTCTAATTGTTGCTTGCTCTTATATAGTGTTGTAAAACTTTCACTAATGAGGCGATATTTTTAATCATAGGACAAAAGTTACTCACTATTAAGCTTGTTCTTGAGTTCCCAGACAATCCATCTTGTAAAAAACGAGTTAAAATCGAATTCCTGTAAGGTATAAAGCTGTTTTTGCCTTYTGCTAGAGCATGGATGACGTTCCTGAAGGACACACACCAAAGAGAATGAATTGTAATCAGTGTTACAGCGTAGAGTCTGGGAAAAAGATAAGTTACACGACGGAGGGTATCTTATCTTCTAAACTCATTGAACTGTGTTAGCTGGGGGCTTCAGTGTGATTCAGTGTTGTCTGACATTGAGTAAATTAATTGCTAGACAAGTTGTAACAGAGATTAAAGTGTAAGGATAAACGTTTGATGAATGGGACATTAGTAAAACAAACGAGAGACGTCTGTTAGTGACGTTAAACGTCGTTAGATAAAGCATTCTGGTTCGACGCTTTTTTTGTAATCATAACAATCAGGATAGATTGTCTATCACTGTTCTATGGAAAATATATGCTTATCTCAAGCTTAAATCAAAAAAGAAAAGATGGGATAAGATGAAATGGAAAGGAAAGATGGATGGACAGATGGATAGATGGTTGGATGGATGAATGGA